CTAGAACCTGAGAACTATAAATATATGTTTTCTAATAAATTATCTTTCCACTAACATAAGATTACATTATTTTCAGATTTAACTATTTAATTTTATTCTAGAACCTGAGAACTATAAATATATGTTTTCTAATAAATTATCTTTCCACTAACATAAGATTACATTATTTTCAGATTTAACTATTTAATTTTATTCTAGAACCTGAGAACTATAAATATATGTTTTCTAATAAATTATCTTTCCACTAACATAAGATTACATTATTTTCAGATTTAACTATTTAATTTTATTCTAGAACCTGAGAACTATAAATATATGTTTTCTAATAAATTATCTTTCCACTAACATAAGATTACATTATTTTCAGATTTAACTATTTAATTTTATTCTAGAACCTGAGAACTATAAATATATGTTTTCTAATAAATTATCTTTCCACTAACATAAGATTACATTATTTTCAGATTTAACTATTTAATTTTATTCTAGAACCTGAGAACTATAAATATATGTTTTCTAATAAATTATCTTTCCACTAACATAAGATTACATTATTTTCAGATTTAACTATTTAATTTTATTCTAGAACCTGAGAACTATAAATATATGTTTTCTAATAAATTATCTTTCCACTAACATAAGATTACATTATTTTCAAATGTAACTATTTAATTTTATTCTAGAACCTGAGAACTATAAATATATGTTTTCTAATAAATTATCTTTCCACTAACATAAGATTACATTATTTTCAGATTTAACTATTTAATTTTATTCTAGAACCTGAGAACTATAAATATATGTTTTCTAATAAATTATCTTTCCACTAACATAAGATTACATCAGGGTTTCGATATCTGCGGATTTTTCCTCATTTTGTGGTTTTTTGATGGGGCGATGAGGATTATTTTTTAAAATGCGGATTTGCGGATTTTTGTGGTCTTTTGAAGAATATGAGGATTTTTTATATTATCTTGTGGTTTTTTGCAAAAATGTCATTATTTTTCCGCTAAAACCTTCTAAAATCCTCAAAAATTTCGCCTGCGGCGCTGAAAATGGAAGAAATCAGGCTTCTTGGCCTTCCAAAATCCTCAAAATTTTTTGCCTGGCCTGAAAATGAACGATTTTTGGCTTAAGGATCTTCCAAAATTAAAAAAATTTTCGCCTGCGGCGCTGAAAATGGAAGAAATAAAAATTTGCGACATCTTCCGCGACAAAAATGCAAGTGTAATTTTTCAGATAGTTGTTGGATTTTCAAATGATGATCATTAGTAATTAAATATTGCTTAATTCAATTGTAGAAGACGAAAAATACTATGCATAAAGTGATTTTAATTCAATTTTTGTGTTTGATAATTTTTTGCGGATTTTTGATATAAAATGCGGATTTTTTCGATCAAATTTGCGGATTTTTAAAAATACGAGATCGAAACCCTGGATTACATTATTTTCAGATTTAACTATTTAATTTTATTCTAGAACCTGAGAACTATAAATATATGTTTTCTAATAAATTATCTTTCCACTAACATAAGATTACATTATTTTCAGATTTAACTATTTAATTTTATTCTAGAACCTGAGAACTATAAATATATGTTTTCTAATAAATTATCTTTCCACTAACATAAGATTACATTATTTTCAGATTTAACTATTTAATTTTATTCTAGAACCTGAGAACTATAAATATATGTTTTCTAATAAATTATCTTTCCACTAACATAAGATTACATTATTTTCAGATTTAACTATTTAATTTTATTCTAGAACCTGAGAACTATAAATATATGTTTTCTAATAAATTATCTTTCCACTAACATAAGATTACATTATTTTCAGATTTAACTATTTAATTTTATTCTAGAACCTGAGAACTATAAATATATGTTTTCTAATAAATTATCTTTCCACTAACATAAGATTACATTATTTTCAGATTTAACTATTTAATTTTATTCTAGAACCTGAGAACTATAAATATATGTTTTCTAATAAATTATCTTTCCACTAACATAAGATTACATTATTTTCAGATTTAACTATTTAATTTTATTCTAGAACCTGAGAACTATAAATATATGTTTTCTAATAAATTATCTTTCCACTAACATAAGATTACATTATTTTCAGATTTAACTATTTAATTTTATTCTAGAACCTGAGAACTATAAATATATGTTTTCTAATAAATTATCTTTCCACTAACATAAGATTACATTATTTTCAGATTTAACTATTTAATTTTATTCTAGAACCTGAGAACTATAAATATATGTTTTCTAATAAATTATCTTTCCACTAACATAAGATTACATTATTTTCAGATTTAACTATTTAATTTTATTCTAGAACCTGAGAACTATAAATATATGTTTTCTAATAAATTATCTTTCCACTAACATATGATTAAATTATTTTCAGATTTAACTATTTAATTTTATTCTAGAACCTGAGAACTATAAATATGTTTTCTAATAAATTATCTTTCCACTAACATAAGATTACATTATTTTCAGATTTAACTATTTAATTTTATTCTAGAACCTGAGAACTATAAATATATGTTTTCTAATAAATTATCTTTCCACTAACATATGATTAAATTATTTTCAGATTTAACTATTTAATTTTATTCTAGAACCTGAGAACTATAAATATATGTTTTCTAATAAATTATCTTTCCACTAACATATGATTAAATTATTTTCAGATTTAACTATTTAATTTTATTCTAGAACCTGAGAACTATAAATATATGTTTTCTAATAAATTATCTTTCCACTAACATATGATTAAATTATTTTCAGATTTAACTATTTAATTTTATTCTAGAACCTGAGAACTATAAATATGTTTTCTAATAAATTATCTTTCCACTAACATAAGATTACATTATTTTCAGATTTAACTATTTAATTTTATTCTAGAACCTGAGAACTATAAATATATGTTTTCTAATAAATTATCTTTCCACTAACATATGATTAAATTATTTTCAGATTTAACTATTTAATTTTATTCTAGAACCTGAGAACTATAAATATATGTTTTCTAATAAATTATCTTTCCACTAACATAAGATTACATTATTTTCAGATTTAACTATTTAATTTTATTCTAGAACCTGAGAACTATAAATATATGTTTTCTAATAAATTATCTTTCCACTAACATAAGATTACATTATTTTCAGATTTAACTATTTAATTTTATTCTAGAACCTGAGAACTATAAATATATGTTTTCTAATAAATTATCTTTCCACTAACATATGATTAAATTATTTTCAGATTTAACTATTTAATTTTATTCTAGAACCTGAGAACTATAAATATATGTTTTCTAATAAATTATCTTTCCACTAACATAAGATTACATTATTTTCAGATTTAACTATTTAATTTTATTCTAGAACCTGAGAACTATAAATATATGTTTTCTATTAAATTATCTTTCCACTAACATAAGATAATATCTTTCCACTAACATAAGATAATGGCGTATAATGATTAGTACTAACTGAACTTTTTAAATAAAAGAAAATTTTCCATTCTAGAAAAATTAGAAGATAAATAAATCGGATATTATATAATCGGACATTATCTAACAAATATTTTACGGTATCAAAAAGTGTTGCCTCAAAAATTAAACTTGCCTCAAAAAAAATAAATAAAAAACTACTTAGCGAGTATAAGTCTTCCCAAGAATATTAGATCATTTATGACATTAAAAACGAAAAAAAGTTAAGATTTATATTTTTGGTATAAAACAATTCAAAACCCACCGAGTTTATTTTCTAATTACCGTAAATGCTCTAATAGAACCACACTCCCTATTTGAAGCACACTCCCTATTATAAGCACACCCCTAGTATAGGGACAGGAAAAAAGCAAATCATCATTTTTTAGTTATATTTATATCATATAAATAAGATTAAGGGAGGTATACCCAAAATCCGATACTCGAAAACTGATATACAGAAATCCGGACCCTCAAATTCGCGATATCCTTCTAAATTTTCAAATATCCTCCTTAATCCTCTTCCGTTGATCTCCCCGATTTAGAATTAAGAAGGTGATTTGTAACCACCGGGATATATTAATCATTGTAATCCACCTATATCCCTCGTATCCCGCCAAATCCACAGATACTATCATCGTTCAGTTTCAATTAACCGAAGAATTACAGTTTAATTTGAAGTCATAAAACAAAAATCGTTGAGAGTCAAGAAATATATCGGAAGATTTGGAGAAGTATCGATGGGTATAATGTGATTTTAACGGATTAGAGGATATGGGATTTTGTTGGGGTATAAATGGATTTATGTTGGGCTATAAATGGAATTTGGGCTTTAAAGTTATATAATATTAATTATGTGAGGTAAAAATTTTCATTAAAAAATTGAAAGTAGATCGAAAAATAAAAGCACACTCCCTATTTGAAGCACACTCCCTAATATAAGCACACCCTACGAGGGGATCGAAAAATAGAAGCACATGTGCTTCAATTAGAGCATTTACGGTAATTTTTTATTTTAAACAAAATTTTTTTTGAAAATTTTTAAAATTTTAAAAATTTTTTTATTAAAAGATTTAAAAACGTGAAAATTAAAAGAAAATATGTATATAATCAGAAAAAGTGAAAATTGGAAAAGATATTTAAAATTCAAAGAAAAATTTTTAAATAGCAGCATCACTAGAACCTCTTTGGGCAACAGATGTATAATAATTTCTCCTTTGATCAGTCATTCTACGCTTTGTTCGCAGACTTTGACACAGCAACACATCTCGAACAAACCCCATTCTGTACTGGGGAAGTATGCTGACAGTTAGTAGGGGGTTTAACATCTAAGTAAGGGAAAAAATTTTTATTTCTAAAATTTGAAAATTTTCAAAAAATTTTAGAAAAAATAAAAAAAAATTTTTTTGAAAATTCTTAAAATTTTAACAAAATTTTCCAAAATAATTTTCAGAAAATTTTTTGAAAAAAATTTTTTATTAAAAGAGCACTCTCATTAAATTTTTATCTCCTACCGAATTTAAATAGACCAAATACATCATTAGCCAGTAAAGAAATATGGTCATACACTCGTTTGTACGTTGGGGATTTAATGACCTTCAATTTAAAAAATTTAATTTTAAAAAATTAATTTTTTTTAAAACCTCTGTAGCCCCGCAAAACGATAAGGGAGAAGAGTAAAAGCAGTAAAAACCTTTATTTGAATTAATTTTATTTAATTAATTTAATAAAATTAAAATTACAGTAGTCATAAAAATAAAATAAAATGTTCGCATTTTTGATCGCATAGCAGAATGTTGACGGGGAGAGGAAGGTAAAGTAATTACGGGTGCAGGAGAGTTGTTATCTCTAGGTGTTCGTAATAAATGTTCTGAAAGATAAAAAAAATTCTGATTTTAAATTTTTATAAAATTCTGATTTTTGTATTTTACTCCTGTATTTAATAAACATAAGAGTAAAAACAAAAATCAGAATTTCAAAAATAAATCAGAATTTTATTTAAAAATTAAATGAAATACAGAAACCAGAATTTTTTATTCAAATTAGAATTCTGATATGAAATTCTGATTTAATAAAAATTCTGAATTAAATAATTCTGGTTTCCGTATTTCATACTATTTTCACATTAAATTCTGATTTTTTTAATTCTGATTTTATATTCTGATTTTTGTGTTTTTATTAAAATTCTGATTTTCGTATTTTCAGTAAAAATTCTGATTTAATAAACAATTCTGAATTAAATATGTAATTCTGGTCAATGTATTTCATTTAATTTTTGAATAAAATTTGGATTTTTTTAATTCTGATTTTTGTATTTTTATTAAAATTCTGATTTTAATAAAAATAAATTCTGAATTAAATAATTCTGGTCAATGTAATATTGCCAAAGTTACACTTTAATTAAAATTCTGATTTTTGTATTTTTCCTTACCCTGTGATTTAATCTGCCTTCTATGTTCACTCACAACCTTCATAATATAAATCGCAACACTTAAAGATGTAATTGTTGGGATTACTCCTACACAAATCATAAAAGGTAAATAAATATAGAGACGATTTGGAAATATTGCCAAAGTTACGCTTTAATTTTTAATTTATTTTTAATTAAAAAATTCCCAAACCAATCCTCGTCTACGCAATGGAATGATTCTGTTGACCACGCAAATAACACAAAGGCTGTGCTTAAAAACCAGCAACCCAAAGCTAAATATATTGCACGTGCTCGAGTGAAACAAGTGGAATATCTTGAATAATTGAGAGCTTTTTTAATTAAAGAAAATTTTCAGTCCAAAATGAGTTTTCCTCAAGAATAACTACTTCCAGCTAGCTGGATCTCTAGCTGGTTGGTCTTGGCCAGAGGGAAGGTCTGGGTTAAGTGTAGAGAATAAGGGAGCGCTTACTAGTCGGAGGTTTATGCTTTTTAAAAGAGAGGGTGAAGCATAGCTCCGTCTTACGGTAGAACACCTGTACATGGTGAACGAAAGCACTAACAAGAATTGCCAGAAATTCGTAAGATCAATCCCTGCCCCGGGCTAAACTTTTTCCTCGGGAAAATCTCTAGTTGTTAGGTCTCTGCACAGAGAGTTCGAATCCCTCGAGTTGAATTCTCTCTCTAATATAATGCCTGGGCATTCCATTCGAGATTTTAGGTAGAAACATTCTAAAAGATTGATGCCCTAAAAGTTTAAAACATAGTTAAAAATTACCTTAAAGGAAACCGGAAGAAGATCAACTTGTCCAAATTCAAAAAGACTAGAGATAATGACGAAACTATCAAGCCGATCCAACACAAAATGTGCATTAAAGCTGATATCTACATAAAATTATTTTTTATCTACATATAGCTATATAATTCCTAGGCTGTGCAGTAGGTGGTATAATCAGTCCGGTCTACTTAAGTTGCTGGTTCGCTCCCAGCACCGAATACCTTTTTGCACTAGCTAAAGGAGAGAAATAGCTATAGTCCAGCTCTCCTTTACTTTAATTTTTACAAGTAAAACTTACAAAACGAGGAAATTTGCTTATTAATCCAGCTCTAGGTGCCAATTCTACTGGGTAACACAAAGCTAGAAAGATAATTTGGTACTTTCCTGTTATCGGCCCTCATTTTTTCTTCCTTTTTTCTCAGTCTAGTTCTGTACAGAATGGTCAGATTTTCTTTCTTAAATTCACTCCATTTCCCGGTGGCAACATCAACAAAGAAAAGACAAACGTTCAATTTTCTGTGTATTCGTTGTGTCTTTAGGATTTTTTCCGCAACTTTTCTTCATTAATGTCTCATTTGAATATGCCATCGGGAAATGGAGTGAATTTGAGAAGGAAAGAAAATCTGACCATTCTGTACGAAACTAGGCTGAGAAAAAAGTAAGGAAAAATGGAGGGCCGATAACAGGAAAGTACCGATAATTTTTTATATTTTCTCAAAAACACCCTCTCCTCCCTTCCCAAACCTGTAAGTAAAAAATCAGCCATAGTCATACTCAACAAAAATACATGTAAACATTTATCACTAGTTTTCCTTTTGATATGTTTTAGGGCTGCAAACATTACATAAAGTTGCAAAAACGATGAAAACAGGGTTAAAACAAACTGGAAAATTACGTGAAATTTTTAAAAGGTTTTTCAAATTTTCTACCATAACAGCGTCCATGTTCTCCGTAAAGCTTATTATTGTCTGCGCGGAAATTATCTTAATAAGAAATTTTTTTAATTTATTTTTTGGTAGTAAAAATAAGTCAGTATCTCGCTCACAGAGAGTTCTCACATCTTCTAAATCCATAAAGGGATTAACTCGAAGCTTTATATAAGGGATACCACTGGTTAGACGATACTCGAAATCTATAGTCATTTTTCGACCTGAAACCGTGTAAACACTTATCACTAGTTTTCCTTTTGATATGTTACATAAAGTTGTAAAACTTTATGTTATTACATAAAGTTGTAAAAACGATGAAAACCTTCCACCTTCCCCGGTGAACCACTGTTCCCAGGGACAATAGCTTTCCTACGTCTAAATTAGGGTTCAATATTTACGGTCAGGTTTTAGCCTCTGTGACGGGTACGGTGGCTCTGGGGGAGAGCCTTCCACCTTCCCCGGTGAACCACTGTCCCCAGGGACGGTATTGAATCCTAGTCTAAATACGATCGCATCTCGGTTGTGTACACACTTGGGTATCAAAAGATTTTATTTACGTAAAATTGCGTAAAATTGATGGCACAGCTTGGCAACTTTTCCTATTTAATGGCCAATCAACTTAAAAATTTAAGGGACAGATCCAGTTAACCTAAGTCTAGAGAATCACCCCTTCCTTCTACCTCCAAATTTAAATTATTTTCAGATTTAACTAATTAAATTTATTCTAGAACCTGAGAACTATAAATATATGTTTTCTAATAAATTATCTTTCCACTAACATAAGATTACATTATTTTCAGATTTAACTATTTAATTTTATTCTAGAACCTGAGAACTATAAATATATGTTTTCTAATAAATTATCTTTCCACTAACATAAGATTACATTATTTTCAGATTTAACTATTTAAATTTATTCTAGAACCTGAGAACTATAAATATATGTTTTCTAATAAATTATCTTTCCACTAACATAAGATTACATTATTTTCAGATTTAACTATTTAATTTTATTCTAGAACCTGAGAACTATAAATATATGTTTTCTAATAAATTATCTTTCCACTAACATAAGATTACATTATTTTCAGATTTAACTATTTAAATTTATTCTAGAACCTGAGAACTATAAATATATGTTTTCTAATAAATTATCTTTCCACTAACATAAGATTACATTATTTTCAGATTTAACTATTTAATTTTATTCTAGAACCTGAGAACTATAAATATATGTTTTCTAATAAATTATCTTTCCACTAACATAAGATTACATTATTTTCAGATTTAACTAATTAAATTTATTCTAGAACCTGAGAACTATAAATATATGTTTTCTAATAAATTATCTTTCCACTAACATAAGATTACATTATTTTCAGATTTAACTATTTAATTTTATTCTAGAACCTGAGAGCTATAAATATATGTTTTCTAATAAATTATCTTTCCACTAACATAAGATTACATTATTTTCAGATTTAACTATTTAATTTTATTCTAGAACCTGAGAACTATAAATATATGTTTTCTAATAAATTATCTTTCCACTAACATAAGATTACATTATTTTCAGATTTAACTATTTAATTTTATTCTAGAACCTGAGAACTATAAATATATGTTTTCTAATAAATTATCTTTCCACTAACATAAGATTACATTATTTTCAGATTTAACTAATTAAATTTATTCTAGAACCTGAGAACTATAAATATATGTTTTCTAATAAATTATCTTTCCACTAACATAAGATTACATTATTTTCAGATTTAACTATTTAATTTTATTCTAGAACCTGAGAGCTATAAATATATGTTTTCTAATAAATTATCTTTCCACTAACATAAGATTACATTATTTTCAGATTTAACTATTTAATTTTATTCTAGAACCTGAGAACTATAAATATATGTTTTCTAATAAATTATCTTTCCACTAACATAAGATTACATTATTTTCAGATTTAACTATTTAATTTTATTCTAGAACCTGAGAACTATAAATATATGTTTTCTAATAAATTATCTTTCCACTAACATAAGATTACATTATTTTCAGATTTAACTATTTAATTTTATTCTAGAACCTGAGAACTATAAATATATGTTTTCTAATAAATTATCTTTCCACTAACATAAGATTACATTATTTTCAGATTTAACTATTTAATTTTATTCTAGAACCTGAGAACTATAAATATATGTTTTCTAATAAATTATCTTTCCACTAACATAAGATTACATTATTTTCAGATTTAACTATTTAATTTTATTCTAGAACCTGAGAACTATAAATATATGTTTTCTAATAAATTATCTTTCCACTAACATAAGATTACATTATTTTCAGATTTAACTATTTAATTTTATTCTAGAACCTGAGAACTATAAATATATGTTTTCTAATAAATTATCTTTCCACTAACATAAGATTACATTATTTTCAGATTTAACTATTTAATTTTATTCTAGAACCTGAGAACTATAAATATATGTTTTCTAATAAATTATCTTTCCACTAACATAAGATTACATTATTTTCAGATTTAACTATTTAATTTTATTCTAGAATCTGACTATTTTCCATTCTAGAAAAATTAGAAGATAAATTAATCGGATAATGGCGTATAATGATTATTACTAACTGAACTTTTTAAATATAAGAAAATTTTCCATTCTAGAAAAATTAGAAGATAAATAAATCGGATATTATATAATCGGACATTATCTAACAAATATTTTACGGTATCAAAAAGTGTTGCCTCAAAAATTAAATTAAACTACTTCAAAGGAAAACGAAAGTCCAAATTTGAAAAGACTACAGATAATGACTTAGCGAGTATAAGGCTTCCCAAGAAGAAGAATTATGCATAAACGCGTTTGCACTACTTACGAGTATAAGTCTTCCCAAGAAGAAGAAAAAATTAAAATTTTTTTCAAAAAATTTTTTTTTAATTTTTAAAATTTTAAAAATTTTTTATTAAAAGATTTAAAAACGTGAAAATTAAAAGAAAATATGTATATAATCGGAAAAAGTGAAAATTGGAAAATAAGATATTAAAATTTCAAAGAAAAATTTTTAAATAGCAGCATCACTAGAACCTCTTTGGGCAACAGATGTATAATAATTTCTCCTTTGATCAGTCATTCTACGCTTTGAGCGCAGACTTTGACAGAGCAGCACATCACGAACAAACCCCATTCTGTACTGGGGAAGAATGCTGACAGTCAGTAGGGGGTTTAACATCTACGGAAAAAATTTTAAAAATTTTTTCTAATTTGAATATTTTTAAAATTTAAAAAATTTTCAAAAAATTTTTAAAATTTTAAAAAATTTTCCAAAAAAATTTTCAGAAAAATTTTTGAAAAAAAATTTTATTAAAAAGAGCCTTCTCATCTAATTTCTATCTCCTACCGAATTTAAATAGACCAAATACATCATTAGCCAGTAAAGAAATATGGTCATACACTCGTTTGTACGTTGGGGATTTAATGACCTTCAATTTAAGGGAAAATTAATTTTAAAAATTAATTTTTTTTAAAACCTCTGTAACCCCGCAAAACGATAAGGAAGGAGAGTTAAAGCAGTAAAAACCTTTTAAATTAATTTTTTAAAAATAAATTTAACAAAATTAAAATTACAGTAGTCATAAAAATAAAATAAAATGTTCGCATTTTTGACCGCATAGCTGAATGTGGACGGGGAGAGGAAGGTGAAGTTATAACGGGTGCAGGAGAATTGTTATCTCTGGGTGTTCGTAATAAATGTTCTGAAAAATAAATTAAATGTATTTTTATTTGATACTTTTTTAGAAATTCTGATTTTTGTATTTTTTTAATTTTTGAGTTCTAGCTTATTTTAATTTATTAAAATTCTGATTTAATAAACAATTCTGATTTCTGCATTTTGTTTTTAATCTTTAATAAAATTCTGATTTTAAAAAATTCTGATTTTAGATTTTTATAAAATTCTGATTTTTGTATTTTACTCTAAATAAATACATATAAGAGTAAAATACAAAAATCAGAATTTAATTTAAAAATTAAAAGAAATACAAAAACCAGAATTTTTTATTTAAATTAAAATTCTGATTTCAACTTCTGATATTATTAAATTTCTGAATTAAATAATTCTGGTTTCTGTATTTCATTTAATTTTTGTATAAAATTCTGATTTTTTTAATTTCGATTTTTATATTTTTAAAAATTCTGATTTTTGTATTTTCAGTAAAATTCTGATTTTTTGCATTTTTATTAAAATTCTGATTTGTATTTTTATTAAATTCTGATTTTTCGTATTTTTACTAAAATTCTTATTTTTGTATTTTCAATAAAAATTCTGATTGTTTGTATATTTATTAAAATTCTGATTTTTGTATTTTCAGCGAAAATTCTGATTTTCTGTGTTTTTATTAAAATTCTGATTTTTGTATTTTAATTAAAATACTTCTTTTCGTATTTTCAGTAAAAATTCTATTTTTTTGTAATTTTTATTAAAATTCTGATTTATTAAAAATTCTGATTTTTTTTATTTTCCCTTACCCTGTGATTTAATCTGCCTTCTATGTTCACTCACAACCTTCATAATATAAATCGCAACACTTAAGGAGGTAATTGTTGGGATCACTCCCACACAAATCATAAAAGGTAAATAAATATAGAGACGATTTGGGAATATTGCCAAAGTTACGCTTTAATTTTAAATTATTTTTAATTAAAAAAATATTTCCAAACCAATCCTCGTCTACACAATGGAATGATTCTGTTGACCAAGCGAATAGCACAAAAGCTGTGCTTAAAAACCAACAACCCAAAGCTAAATAAATTGCACGTGCTCGTGTAAAACAAGTGGAATATCTTGAATAATTGAAGGATTTTTAATTTTTTAATTAAAAAAATTTTTCAGACTAAATCAGTTTTCCACCGATAATCACTGCTTGCTTCTAGCTGGATCCCTAGTTGTTTCGTTTTGTCAAAGAGACCGGAGCGAAGGTCTAGGTTAGGTGTAAAGAATAAGGGAGATCCAGCTAGCATTTTAGCGCTTCTAGTCGGAGGTTTATTACTTTTTAAAAGAAAGGGTGGAAATTTTGAAAGAAAGGGTGGAAGGGTGGAAGAATCGGTAGAACACCTGTACATGGTGAACGAAATCACTAACAAAATTGCCAGAAAGTCGTAAGATCAAGCCCTGCCCGGACTAAGCTTTCTCCTCGAGACTTCTTAAACCCTTGCTATTACTGTAAAATCTATTACAGAACGCACCCTCGAGTTGGAAGTTTAAAAAATAGTTAAAAATTACCTCAAAGGAAAACGGAAGAAGATCAACTTGTCCAAATTTAAAAAGACTAGAGATAATGACGAAACTATCAACCCAATCCAACACAAAATATGCATTAAAGCTGATATCTACAGAAAATAATTTTTTAATTAATTTGAAGCATATGTATAGCTATTTAATTCCTAAGGTTGTGCAGTAGGCAGCGTGATGTAATGGATCGGGAATGTGGATCATGGCGTCTTGAGCGCCACACGAAAATATTGGGACAAATCCCTGTAATTGCTACCACATCAATCCGGTCTATGAAGATGCTGGTTCGCTCCCAGCCGCCTAATAACATTTTGCACTAGCTAAAGGAGAGAAACAGCTATAGCCCAGCTCTGCTTTACTTTAATTTTTAGAATAAAAACTTACAAAACGAGGAAATTTGCTTATCAATCCAGCTCTAGGTGCCAATTCTACAGGGTAACACAAAGCTAGAAAAATAATTCTTTTTAATAATTCCCTCAAAAACCTCTCCTCCCTCCCCAAACCTGTAAGTAAAAAATCAGCCATAGTCATACTCAACAAAAATACATGCAAACATTTATCACTAGTTTTCCTTTTGATATGTTTTAGAGCTGCAAACATTACATAAAGTTGTAAAAAGGATGAAAACAGGGTTAAAACAAACTGGAAATATTAAAATTTTTAAGGAAAAATTTTTTTCAAATATTCTACCATAACAGCATCCATGTTCTCCGTAAAGCTTATTATTGTCTGAGCGGAAATTATCTTAACAAAAAATTTTTTTTATTTATTTTTGGTAATAAAGATAAGTCAATATCTCTTCCACAGGGAGTTCTCACGGCTCCTAAAGCCATAAAGTGATTCAAACGAAGCTATATATAAGGGATGCCACTGGTACTCGAAACCACTGGTACTCGATGCTCAAAACCTATAGACATTTTTCGACCTGAACCCCGACCCAACTTTTCTCTTGTCCCATTAAATCCCTGGTATGGATCAGTCAAAGCAAAAGGGAATAATTGCCTAAAAATACAGCTTTCCTCAGTATAAATTAGGGTTCAATATTTACGGTCAGGTTTTAGCCTCGGTGACGGGTACGGTGGCACTGGGGGGAGAGCCTTCCACCTTCACCGGTGAACCACCGTCCCCGGGGACGGTATTGAATCCTAGTCTATTGTACACCCTTGGGTATCAAAAGATTTTATGTAAAAACGAGGAGAGCATAGCCTGGGCAACTTTCCCCATCCAAGGGCCTATCAACTTAAGAAAAATCTAAGTACACATCCAGCCAACTTATACCCTTAGGTCTAGAGAGTCAGCTCTTCCTTCTACCTCTAAATTCCAAATTTAAATTAAGAACAAACATGTGAATTAGTACACCCCGCCTCTTCTTGATCTTCCTCATTATTACTACTTTCCTGATTATCCATTAAATTTAAATTATTTTGTCTGCTTGAATTAATTATTAAAGGGAAGGATGACGATGTTTCTGGTATGGAAATGAATGTTTTTGTTGTTGCTATATTAATATTATTTTTAATATTATTTTCTGAATACCCTTCTAGTGTGCTTATTGTCATTAACATTATTAAAAAATAATAATTTTTATATAAAATTATTTTTTAAATTTATTAGAAATTTAATATTTTTTTTAAATTATTTTTTAAAAAATATGTGTTGTGTGTTGTTGTAATTCATTTAATTTTTTCCTAAAAAATTAAGTGAAAATTGAGAGGATTAAAAATTTTTTAATTTATTTTCAAAAAAATTTTTTTAGGTTAGAATTTATTTTGTTTTCTATGGTATTGTTATAAATTTGTATGGGAGGGTTTTTGGGGGTTTTTATGTCTAGTGGAGAATTTTTTGGGAAGAAAAAAATATTTTTCCCAAAAAAATTATTTTTAAATTATTTTTAAAAATTAAAATATTTTTAAAAACCCATTAATTATTTTTAAATTATTTTTAAAAACCCAAAAAAATTATTTTTAAATTAAAAATAATTTTTTAATCAACAAAACTTTTTTCAATAAATATGTATAAAGCATAAAATAATAGTAATAAAATAAAAATTTATTCAAAAAAAATGGTCGAAATAATTTTCCTCGACTCATTTTAATTTTTGCTCTTAAACAAAATATAAAGAAATTGTTTTGAAATTTAAAAAAAATTCTTTGTATTCGTGGGCGGGTTCGAATTTACGAATTTTGGTACGAGCTTTCAGTCATCGATTAAGTCGCTTAAAAAAATTAAAAATAAAATTTTTTGATAAAATAAAATAAAAAATTTTGTGTTTTTTATTTTGTCAGCTCTAGAAAAATTTTTTAAATAAAATTAAATTTAGAAAAAAAAAAAGAATTTATGAGAAAATTCCTAATTTAAATATAGGTACCTATATTTATTTTCTAAATTATATGTTTATTTTCTATTAAATTAAAAAAATGAATAAAAAATTAATAAAATAAATATTATAATTAAAATGGAAAGAGTCTTTTTTAATCTATTTTTAAATTAAAAAAATTTTTTCTAAAATAATTTTTTAAAAATTTGGGGAGGGAGTAAACTTGAGAAATGATACGGCTTCTTCTTTTAACCGTTGAACAAACTTTTAAAAAAATAAAATAAAAAATCTAAAAATGGAAAATTAAAAAAAAATTTTTTTAAAGGAAATGAAGGGTAAAGGGTGAATATTTAAAAAAAATTTTTTTCTAAAAAATTTCCGGAGGATGTAAATATTTAAATTTTTTTGTTTGTTTTAGAAAATTAAAATAGCTAAAAATAGAATTTAAAAAATTTTTAGAAAAATTCTAGAAAAAAAAATTATCTTATTTTTGATCATAAATGGAAATCAAAAATTGAATTTGAAATTGTAAAAAAAATTTAAAAATTTATAGAAAAATAATTTTTTTAAATTTTTACTATAAGACAACAAAAATAAAAAAATAACGTATACCAATTTTTAAAAATTATTTTTTTATTAATTTCCAAAAATTATGAACCCTGTTAAATATTTATTTATTAAATTATTTATTCAATTTTTAAATTTGTGTCTGATCAAAAAAATTTTAGAGTTAATTTTTTTGCCTTTACAGCTAAAATAAAATTTATTAAAAAATAATAAATTCGCAAAAAAATTTTTTTATTGATTTTTAACATTTTTTTTTATTTTTTTAATTTTTATAAAGAAATAACTAATTTCAAAATTATAAAAGAAAGAAAGAAACATTTAAAAAAAGTGTTTATTTAAAATAAAAGTCAACCTTTTTTAGTGAAACAAACAAACAAAAAAACTTTGTTTGCAATAAAGATTTAAAAATAAATAAAACGCGCATTGAAATTCTAAAGAAACACGAACAAAAAAGAAAAAGGGTTAAGAAAGAAAAATAAACTTGAATTAAATAAAAATAAATAAACTTGGCGGAAGGTTAAACGGTAGACAAATAAAACTTGAATTAAATAAAATACAAAGGAAAGTTGGAAAAAAAATACAGCTTGAAAACAAACTTGATCAAAAAAGAAACTTGGTCTTAAAACTTAAGGGAAGGTAGGGAATAAAAATATAAAACTTGAATTATAAGTAAAACTTGAATTAAAACTTGAATTAAAACTTGAATTAAAACTTGGATTAAAGCTTGAATTTAAATAAACTTAAAAATAAAACTTGCTTCTGAATAAAACTTGAAAATAAACTTGGCAGGCATGAAATAAACTTTTTTACATAATTTAAAGAAGAAAGGTTGGAGAAATAAAACTTGATTACCTATAAAAGGAAAAATTAATTTAAAAAATAAACTTGGTTCCATATAAAAGGAGCTAAAATAAACCTATTAATCAAATAAGTTTAAAAATTATTTTTAAAAATTGGGGGAGGAATTGAAAGACTCTTTTCCTTCTAAAAAACTTTTTTAGGACGCTTCAAGTGTTGGTTAAATTTATTTTTGATTTTTTTTCTATTTTTAGCAGTTGATTTTTAAGTTGGAGATAAGAGGGAAAAATAAAATAAAAATTCTCTTGATTAGAGGGAATAATGAGGAATGAAAGAAGCAAAAAATCATCAAAATCAGACACTTTTATTTTTAAAAATAATTTTTTAAACGTCATTTAAGGTGGGAAAAATAGAATTTTTTGAAAAATTAATTTTCTTTTCTAAAAATATTTTAAATTAACTTTATTCACATAACTTTATTTGAGGTGGACATCAAATTATGATTTTTTGGGCTCTAAAAGAGAAGAGTATTGGCTCTTAGAAAATGTAAAGATTGTCAAATAAAAAATTTTTCTACTTGGAGTTACGAATTTTTAAAGTCCTTTACTTCTAGTTTTTCCCTTATAATTAACCCTTCTTGGAGGCTCGTGATTTTACTTAAGGTGGACCTAAAATTATAATTTTTTGGGCTCTAGAAGCGACGAGTATTGGCTCTTAGAAAATATAAAGTTTATCAAATAAAAATGGTTCTACTTAGAGTTATGAATTTTTAAAGGTTTTTTGGTTCAACATTTTTTGGTGTTTTTTCTCCTTTAAAAAAAGAACAGGAAATTCTCTAAAAATAAAAATAAAATTTTTTTCATTTCCGTTTTAATTTTAAACGATCAATTTACTGAAATATGATTACCAAATAATATTTTTAAGATGATTTTTAGACAACTGTTGAAGACAAGAAAATTAAAGTGAAGGAGAGAGGCTAAATTTTGATTTTTTGTGTAAAATGAGAATTTAAAAATTTAATAAAAAAAACTTGTAGTGTGATCAGAAAAACATGAAAAAAAATACATATTTATTTATGTAAAATTCATAAGATATTTTGTTTGAAAAAAAAGATAGGAAATATTTCATTAAAAAAGTTTTTTTATAATTTAATAGGAGAAACATAAAACCCAGAGCCGTTTTAGAAGGAAAAAAATCGTTCTAAAATTTATTTTCAAAAAGAATTTTTTTTTAATTTTTTAATGAAAAATTAATCTAACCAGCATCTTCAGTAGACCGGACTGATGTGTTATCTATTATGTACAACACGCCGCCTACTGCACAGCCTTAGGAAATTAAGAGCTATATGCTGTAGTTTCAAAATAAAAAATATAGTTTATTTCAATCAGCCCTAACCTAGATTAAAAATCGGAAAAATCAAATATTCAATAGAATAATTTTGAATAGCTTGAATTCCCTTTCAAATTGTATTTTTTACAGTTTTTCGATCTCTAAACGAGATTTCTTAAGAAAAAATATTTTTTTAATTAAATTCAAAGTTAAAATATTCATGAAAAAAATATCAAAAAAAGAAGTAAACAAAAGAAAAGAAAATATTGAGAATAAATTCTTTAGGGGGATGAAACTTGAACCTTATCTTTAAAACAAATTTTAGGGTACTAAAATAAAGAAGAAGAAAAACGTGTCTCCCTCTGAGAGACAAATTTGGAAAAAAAATTTTTTTTGAAATAAAAGAATATTTTATTAAGGTAAAGTATATTTTATTATACACAAATTTAAGAGAAGAGAATATTTTATTTAAATTTTAAAAAATTAATTTTAATGAGTAAATAGAAAATTTTGGAAAAAGATACGTGTGGATAGAGGTAAATAATATTGATTTTAAAAAAAATTTTTTTTAGGTTTTAAAAGGCAAATTTAAACGTTTAAAATAACTTCTAGAGCTAGACAAATTTTAAAAAATATTTTTAGGTATAGCAAAAAAAAAGCAAAAAAAATAGTTGAGGGTCTTTATGAAATTTAGGGGTACTTAATGGATTTATGGTCTTAATCAGCTTCCTCTGGCTAAAAACAAGGGGAAAAAGCTTGATTATCTTTATGTTTGTCCGACCTCTATAGGAGGAGGGGGAGGGAGCAATTTTAGAAGGAGGAGGGGGATGGCAATTCAAGAGGAAATACGGTAGAAAAATCTTCCAGATTCAATCATCTAGCAAGTAAAAAATCGAGATCGATATCTCAAAAAATCCCGATCTCGATAATTGTCTAGTCTCGGTCCATTCTCTACTAGAAGCATCTCAAGCATAATAAAGGCATATTTAGAAGAAAAAAGTTGAAGCGTTTTAGTTAAGTTACCTCTAGGTATTAACTGAGAAAATTATAAAAAAATATTGTAATTTTTAGGATTAAAGTAGACAAAGCTAATTAGTTAATTTTTAGATTTTTTGAAAAATTTTTAGCCAGAAAATATTTTTGGAATATTTTTTTGAATAAAGAATAAATCTACTTATTTATTTTTAGAATGAAGAAGCTGCTAAAAAAGAATTACTAATAGTCAGCTGCTAAATAAAACAAAAATTAATTTTTTTCATGGCTAAAATTAAAATTGAAAGTCTTCCAAAAAATTTTATTTTTATTTTTGAAACAAAAACAAAATTTCCAAAATTAGATTTTTTAAATTTCTTTTTGGTGATTTTTGATTATTTGGTTCTTTGGTTTTTAAATTTTTTTTAATTTTAAAATTTTTAAAAATAAATTTTAAAAAAATCAAAGTTAATATGCAAATATTAAATTAGGAAAAAAATTTTGGGGGGAAATTTTTATATGATCAAACCTTAATATAAAATAGGATTTTACAGTTGAAAAAATATATTAAGAGACTGTTTATTATTACGAGACCAAAATGCCAGTTTAACGACGATTGCAATTAAAACGATTAGGGGGGTGTCTAAAGATTTATATAAGGAGAGGAAGAAAAACAAAAAATTGTCGTTTCACTAGCTTAGTTAATAGAAGACGTACAAAATTGTATGTCTAAAGTTCGATTCCTGTAAGGAATCGAACCTGTAACTCCAACTAAAATTTAAAAAATGTCTCACACCCTCGATTAAAGGAAATACTTAAATCTTGTATCAAGGTGTTTTGAAGGTAGTAATTTAAAAAATTGAAAAAGTACATAAATAATATTTTTAAAAATTCATAAAAAATAGCATCATTTTTAAGTACAAAATTAAGCCTTTTTTAATTTAAAAAATTTTTTAATGAGTGAAAAAAAAATTTTTTTTAAGTCTTATTGTTTTAAATTATTTTTATTCATTTTAAAGTATTAAAAAAGAAATTGGATAGAATTTTAAAAATACAAAAAAAATAGAAAGGCAAACAAACATTTTAAAAAGTGATGAAATTTAAAGAAAAAAGGTAAATATAAATAAATTTAAACTATTTTTAATGGAAAAATGTCAAGTATATTTTTAAAAATTTATTTAAGTGTTGACGGTAAAAAGAGTAAAAGTTTAGATGTTTTGTGGGGAAATAAAAGAATGTTTATAGACATGGATATTTTTAAAAGAGAAAAGAAACATCTAAAACATTCAAAAACATCCAAAAAATTTTAAAAACATTTGAAAAACATTCTAAAAACAAACGGAGGAAAAGAAACATCTAAAAACATTGAACAAACATCTAATAAAAACATCTAAAAACGTTCTACAAACATCCAAAAAACATCAAACAAACATCCAAAAACATTCTAAAAACAACATTCAAAACATCCAAAAACATTCAAAAACATTTGAAAAACATTCTAAAAACATAGATAGAAACAACCGAAAACATCAAAAACATCTAAAAACTAGACGAAAAACATTAAGCCTGGAAACTAAACATAAAACACAAACTTGACGAACATTGTTAATTTTGAAAAAAACACGATGTTCAGAATTTTGAATTAATGTTTGTTTAATGTTTGTAACTTTTAATAATGTATCCAATTTATGTTTTGATTAATTTATGTTTTAAATGTTTTTGAAAAATTAAACATGTTTTTGTCTTGTTTTATTTAATCATGTTTTATTTGATTAAAACATGTTTTGAATAAAACACGTTTTAATTAAAACATGTTTTTAGTTAAAAATATGTTTTAGTCGTGTTTTTGAATGTTTGAATTCGTTATTGTCTTTCGTTAAGTTTGTTTGTATGTTTTTGTGTTCATTAGATCTAATTATTTAAATATGTTTGTGTTTTAGAAAAAGAATTGTTTTTAGATGTTTTTAGATGTTTTAAACATCAATTAGATGTTTTTAACATTTATATTTTAAATAATATTTATTTAAATGAATATTTTCGTTAAAGTAAATTCGCTTTTGTTTGTTCAACTTTTAGCGTGTGTTAAAAATTAAACAAAATTATTAGACGTCTATTACCCTATCATATTGACTTAAACAAAACACATAATTATTAAAAAAAATAATTTCCTGACTTTTTTTAATAATTATTATTTATATTTTAAAGGGTTTACGTACATGATGAAAAAAAAAATTGTAATTTATTTTTAACGGTGTGAGGATTATAACCTGACATATTGACTCAAACTCTGCGGAAAATTTTAATTGGGACAATTTTAAAGGTATATTGAAGAGGACGATGTAATAGAGGGCTGCTTATTTAATTTCTAAATTAGCTCGGAGCGATCTCGGTTATCGATATCGATATCCTTTCGAGATATCCAGATCTCTATTCTCGTACCACTCACCCATTCCGGTCTCTAGTCGTTATAGGGAGCATCCAAGTTACCGTATTTTCTCAATTAATTCCCTGGGGAATTAATATTTCAACCCATACGTGGGATGGGGAATTATTCGAGTTTCGGCATTTGAACGTGCATTAGGGTATTTGGGGGTGGAGAATTATTGTTCAGCCAAACTCTAGCATGGGGAATTAAACGAGAGGGGGAATTATTCGAGGGAGGGGGAATTATTCGAGAAAATACAGTATAGGGAGCAAGCAAACTCATTATAGGGAGCATCCATTTTGTAGACAAATCCTTTACTTATGACAGAATGCCCAATTTTAATCTGAAAGGGTTTTGGCCATAAAAGAAGATTTTTGAGACCTTAAAGTCGCTCAAAGTTTTCTTGAGGGAGGGTGTTTCCCAAAAAGGAAATGAAAAATAAAACAAAGAAATGTGAGACATCCCAAAATTTATAAAATAACCTACTAACTTGGTCTCTAGTCTTTTTTCTTTTAAAAAAGGTGTCAGTTATTGTTTCAAGTATCCAAAAAAGAATGGAAAAATAAAAGCAAAAATTGAGACAAAAATTGAAGTAGGTGCTTAAAGGTGTGAATATATAAATAATTTAAAGGTTTTGGAGGTTTGGTTTTAAGGAAAAATAAATAAGAATTGAAACAATGGCTTTAAAAAAGGCACTAAAAATTTAAGAAAATATAGGAATCGTGAGGGAGGATTTTTAAGAAATTGGGGGAAGTTTTTATGTTATAGTTGAAAGAGAGGGAATTGATATACTACACACAATTTTGGACAAAAATGAGTAAACTGAACAGCTGATCTTGGCTAGGAATCAGCTGATACATATTACCTAAATCTAGCTTCATGGATAGTAGACTAGGATATCTACACCAAGACTTGTTTAGGGTAGCTAATAGAGATCGGACAGATTCATAAATCTGGAGCGGAGCTGGCCAGGTGAGCGTGGCCGCTCCGCTCCAGTCCGTTCTCTAGCTACTCTAATACCCTGAAAAAATCATCATTTAATTTTAGAAAAAATGAAGAAGAATTATTCCACTTGTTTGCCCTTTTCTTTAATATATTTTTAAAAATAAAATGACTAAAAAAAATTTTTTATAAAATGAGTAGCAGGTAATTAGCATTTTTACCCTTCATAATTATCAACAACAAAAAAAAATTTGTTGACAATTATATTTTTATAAATAAATTTTTTTTAATTTTAAAAACGTCAAAAAGACGTCAAAAGAAGAGAGAAATAAATAAATTTTTAAATTAAATTGTAAACAAATTTTTTTTCAAAATTTATAATTTTGTTCACTTTTACAGTACAATTTATATGAGTATATGTGAGCAATTAATCAAGAATTTTTTTAAATAAAAATATTTTTTGGTCAAATTAGTGTAGCAATTTATAGGGGAAATGATATGTAAAAATGCTTAAGTTGACCAAAATTAAAAAAAATATGTACAAAAATAATACAGTAGACGTTATGACCTGACTGTGATCTATAAGTTGAGTTTGTTATATCGTTCTGTACCAGTTGACGCGGGTACAAAAACTCTTCGGGTACGGGTTTCGGGTACAAAAAATGCCGGGTTTCGGTTATCGGTTTCGGGCGGCAACCCTGTTCTGTACCTAACTTCAGCAATCCTGACTATGGTTGTCAGTTCGAGGTTTTTTCGTTTCGGATAATTCTAGAAAATCTGGCAAATGAAATACTAGTCAAAAGTCTTCCACTGTAGATATAAACAAAAGGTTAACACCTCACAATCATCTGATCATTCGTAATTTTTTCTCTTCTCTCAAGATTATCTTTGTTATTTCTACATTCTATTCTATCATCTGAAGATGATTCTTTTTCATATTCTTCTTCTTCCTCCTCTTCTGAATCGCCCAAACCCCTTCTAAAATCAACAGACAACTCTTCTTCTGAGTATGGTAGATCTTCACTTTGTTCACCTTCTCTTCCTTCTCTTTCTTCTTTCCTTCCATTTTCTTCTTTATCACTTTCTTCCTCTTCTTCTTCATCCCCATTTTCAATTTTCAAGGCAAAAGGCTTGTTCATCCTCCTCTCTTCCTTCGTTTTACCCTTGTTCAAATCCTTCATCCTTCCCTCTTCCAATCTCTTCTTTATTTCCTCTTCCCCCTCCGCTTCCTTCATCCTCTCCCTCATTTTCTTCCTTCTATCTTCTTCCCTCTTTTCCTTCTCTTCTTCATCCTCCACCTCTTCATCCTTTTCCATCTCTTCATCCTCTTCTTCAAAATTCTTCCTTCTTTTCACCTCTTCTTCCTTTCCTTCCGTTTTTCTCCCCTCTTCCTTCCCACCCTCTTCATTCTTCTCATCTACACTTCTACTTCTTCCAGCCTCTTTAGATTCATCACTTCCCGTTAATCTTTTATAACGACTCTGTCTTCTCTGTTGAAGTCTACGCCTAACAGCTTCAGTTTGTGTTGATATCTCTCGACGGCCTACAATTAGAGCTGCTGGGATATTAGTCAAATTTTCTTCTTTTTTGTTGTCATTTTGTGTATTTTCATCATTTTTGTCGTCAGATTTGTCGTAAAATTTATTATATATTTTTCCATAAATTTTGTCGTAAATTTTGTCGTAATTTTTTATTTTTGTCTTTTTGACGCCAAAATGTTCTGAAGTGTTGTTTGACTGTCCTTTGAAGTCAATATCATAGGAAGAGTGGTTTGGTGGGGAAGTAACGTAGTCTACAGTCTCGGATGTTGAACATTGCTGCCTGCGTTCAAGACTTCCGTAATTTCTATTAGAACCACTCAATGGTGATTTTGTTCTAATTCTGTGTTGTTGTTCTGAAAAGAAAATAAACTTGAAATTCTGATTCTAATAATTCTGGTAAAATAAACTTGAAGAAAATACAAAACTTATTGTTGTGAAACAATTCTGGTTTTTATTAATTCTGGTTTTTGAGAACAAAAAAACACATTAAATTCTGGTTTCTAGTTACAAGAAAAACACGTAATTCTGATATGTTTGTAATAATGAAACAGTTAGAAAATTGTTTTAAAATAATTCTGGTTTTAACTTCAAGCTTGTTTTGATTAAATTCTGGTTTGTTTTAATTAAATTCTGGTTTGTTTTAATTAAATTCTGGTTTGTTTTAATTAAATTCTGGTTTGTTTTGATTAAATTCTGGTTTGTTTTAATTAAATTCTGGTTTTTAAAAATTAAAAATACAAAATTGTGTTTTCACTTCTAATAAAAAGTGTTCTGCTTCACAACAATAAATTTTAAAAAATTACCTTTATTATTCCATTGTTTTCCATAGACTCCATTCCTTCCCCCAGCAAAGCTTCCTCCTCTGCCATCATTTCCACAGCTGATAGCCTCGTCCTCGGAGTGAGTCGTTGGAATATTTTGTTGGAACTGACCATGCTTGGGGTTGATGCCGTTGTTATTGTCATTAGAGGCATCATTAATGGTTGCCCTCCTTTCGCTTTTGGTCTCCTCGGGGTTGCTGGACGTTGTCGCTGCCGAGTGCGTCGCCACCACAACAATCTCCTCATCGTTAGTCTGCAACGACTGGCTTAAAACAAGTTGGTTAATTGAGAGAAAATTTTGTGTTTTTATATTTTATAGAATCAGAATTTTTGCTTTAATCAGATCAGAATTTTTTGTTTTAATAGGATCAGAATTTTCCAAAATCAAAATTTTATAAAATCAGAATTTTCCAAAATCAGAATTTTATAAAATCAGAATTTTATAAAATCAGAATTTTATAAAATCAGAATTTTCCAAAATCAGAATTTTATAAAATCAGAATTTTCCAAAATCAGAATTTTATAAAATCAGAATTTTATAAAATCAGAATTTTTATATTTTTGTTTGCCAAAAATCAGAATTTTTTGTATTTTCTTTGTGTTTTTTTAGTTTCAGAATGTTTTTATTATCTTATAATTTTGTATTTTTGATAATTCCAAGTGCCTGTTTCCAAGTGGTTGCGCATTCGCTCTGTCTCTCCTTCTCCTTTGTGTTTGCCAAATACAAGTAAAGCAACAACATATTTTTGACATTCTTGATTGGCAACAATTAATTTCTGGATGGAATAAAATACATAATACAGGGAATGCCAAAAAGTAGAGAATAACACAGGCATCAAAAATGTAGATAATTATTAAAGAACCGCCATGAACTATTGGATCCCTTAAAATTGAAGAAAAAAATTTTTTAATACATACACTCCTCCACAAAATTATAGCCCCACCTATATTTTCCTCGGTTTCAATACTGTAACCGTTGTTTTTATTTTCAGACTTTTTTGTAATAATAGATAGTGGTCTGAAATTAGGTTCGTAAAAATTTTTTGTTTTTAAATCAATTTTTTTGAGAGTTATAGGAAATTCCCAGTTTTAGGGTTCCACAAAATTATAGCCCCACTTTGAAATTTCGAGTTTCCAACTTTAGGAAAAATCTACAAAAATTTGAGCAAGCATATCTATTGATACTAAGAAAAAATAAAAAAACAATAGGCCCATATCTCACTTCAGTATCGAGATCCAGATACCTCGAAAATCAACGTAAATCAGGGGTAAGGCTGTTTAAAAAATATTTTCGACCCCTTATTGTTTGTTTTAAAATTTCAATTTGGGCTCATTCGAAAGCCCTTAAAATTTGCTACAAGATACTAATACTCATATATCCCAGAAAAAATTCAATAGAGATATGCAGGACGTTAATCTTCCGGAGCTTATTTTATGGGGCATTAGGGGGCTTACTGAAATAATTATTATGGGGCTTACTGAAATAATTTTTCTAGAAAATAAAACTTATGCTATCTTGTAGCAAATTTTAAGGGCTTTCGAATGAGCCCAAATTGAAATTTTAAAACAAACAATAAGGGGTCGAAAATATTTTTTAAACAGCCTTACCCCTGATTTACGTTGATTTTCGAGGTATCTGGATCTCGATACTGAAGTGAGATATGGGCCTATTGTTTTTTTATTTTTTCTTAGTATCAATAGATATGCTTGCTCAAATTTTTGTAGATTTTTCCTAAAGTTGGAAACTCGAAATTTCAAAGTGGGGCTATAATTTTGTGGAACCCTAAAACTGGGAATTTCCTATAACTCTCAAAAAAATTGATTTAAAAACAAAAAATTTTTACGAACCTAATTTCAGACCACTATCTATTATTACAAAAAAGTCTGAAAATAAAAACAACGGTTACAGTATTGAAACCGAGGAAAATATAGGTGGGGCTATAATTTTGTGGAGGAGTGTAGTTTAGTTCACACCTGAGTCCAACCATGTAAAATATATCACAATAGATAACTGATGAGCAGAGTAGGTAAATGGCTAAAAAATCAGAATTTTATTGTATTTTTAAAAATCAGAATTGATTTTTATTTATTATATAAAATCAGAAATTATTACAACTTAATTACACCAAAATTTTTTGTATTTTACTTATAGTAAAATCAGAATATTTGTATTTTTCAAATCAGAATTGAATTTTTATTATATGAAATCAGAATTTATTAAAAGTTTATATCAAATCAGAATAATTTCAAAATCAGAACTTAATTTAAACATTAATTATAAAATCAGAATATTTCTAATTCAGAATTTAATCTGAACATTTGTATTTTTAAACCAGAATTTAATTTGAACATTTGTATTTTTAAACCAGAATTTAATTTGAACATTTGTATTTTTTTAATCAGAATTTATTTTAAACATTTTTATTTTTTAATCAGAATTTATTTTAAACATTTGTATTTTTCTAAATCAGAATTTAATTTGAACATTTATATTTTTAAAGCAGAATTTGTTTTAAACATTTGTATTTTTTTAAATCAGAATTTAATTTGAACATATGTATTTTTCTAAATCAGAATTTAATTTGAACATTTGTACTTTTCTAAATCAGAATTTAATCTGAACATACCAAATGTTGGAAACAAAGTTGCAAACATTGTTCGTTTCACAGCAAAAACAAGTTCCATATGTAAGCGTTCTTCAATGCTTATAACTTGGGAGAATGTTATTCGCCTTACATCCAAAAGTTTTTTTGAGATTGTTAGCAGGAAGAAACACTTTTTTTAATTTTTAATTTTATTTTTATTTAAATTTTACCAAAATCTGAAAAATTCCCATTACAAGAAATACGGCTAGACCAGAAGCAAAATGTAGCTCATTCCGAAGGACAACCTCATTATAATGTTTTTCACATTTTCTTCTATAAATTATGGGTTCAGGGAAAATAAAACTGACAAGTCTTAAGTAGAGATATTCACAAAATGCTAGGAAACACTGAAAATAATAAAATCAGAATTTTAACAATCGGAATTATAAAAATCAGAATTTTGAAAAAAATCAGAATTTTAAAATTCAGAATTTAAAAAATCAGAATTTAAGAACAGAATTCTAGAAAACAGAATTTATAGGAAAATCAGAATTTTAAAAAATCAGGATTTTAAAAATCAGAATTTTATTGAAATCAGAATTTTAATAAAAAAAATTTAAGAAATCGGGATTTAAGAAATCAGACTTTTTTTAATCAGAATTTTATCAAATCAGAATTAAAAATCAGCATTTAAAAACAGAATCTTGCAAAATCAGAATTATAAAAAATCAGAATTTTTTAAAATCATAATTTTATTCCAACTTACAGTAAAAATAACAATTGTATAGGCAACAGTATGATAATGTTCAAACAATTTTTGTTGTAATAATTTAATATGACTGGTTCCATCTTCATCTTCAACATGTTCATTTTGCCTTTCAGGTAAGGGCATTGAGGTTATTTGTTTTACAAAACTATTTTCTTGTTGTTCTGTTGGGGGTATTACAATAATGTTGTTTTTAGATGTTTCTTCTGGTTTGGATGTTTTGTGTTTTGTTTGATGTTTTTGTTGTGTTAATTGTTCTGATGTTTGTTTCTCTTGTTTTTCTTGTTGTTTCGCTTGTTTTTCTTGTTCAGAAACATTTAATTTATTATTACAACATTGACAACAACAACAATTTTCTGATTTGTTGTTTTGAGGTTCTGGTATGTTTTGATGCAAGTTGGAAGTTGAAGGGTGTGCAAAATCAGAATATGTGTTTCTTAACAATGTTTTTAAGTTAAGTTTTTGTTTAATAAATGCAACAAAGCATTTAATACATATATTAAAATAAAATATTTTATTAATTACTAAGCCACACCAAAAAATAAATAAAATGTCAATTTCTAAAATGCCTCCCTTATCTTTTATTTTTTATCGTTTTATTTAAATAAAAAATGGGGGTTAAACATTTTTATCTATTATTCTATACTATTTTTAAAAACTATTTATTTATTGTAGTTTGTAGAATTTTTGTCAAAAAATTTTTTTGTTATTTTATATTCAAAAAATTTTTTTGAAATGTTCTTTTATTCAATGTTTTGCTTATATATCTGACATTGTTAGAAGTCAAAACATTTTCCTTTTGTTTCCAACTTTTTTCAGAAAACACTAAAACATTATTTTTCAAAACATTATTTTTCAAACAATGTTTTACAAAACATTAATAAACGGTAAAAACATTAGCAACATTTCTCCCTTTTCTCAGAGAACACTAAAACTTGTTTAAAACATTGTTCCTAAGAACATTAAAACTTTCATAAAGCATCAACAACATTTTCCCAACTTTTGTAAAAACATTGATAAACATTGTTTTCGTTAAAACATTTTTCATCTTTTTAGAAAACATGCAAACTTGTTCGAAAACATATAAACTTGTTCGAAAACATATAAACTTGTTTAAAAACATCGTGTCTAAAATCATTTAAAACTTGTTTAAAAACAATGTTTTCCAAAAACATCCTTAAAAACATCTTTAAAAACATCAACATTTTCCCAAACATTCCCCAAAAACATTAAAATAAACATACACTTGTTCAAAACATGTTTGTTGTTCAAATGTTTGTTGCTCATCTAATGTTTTTGGCAGTATCACAGGGAAACAAGTTACTTTACAAACTTCTTCCTTTGTTGATGTTGGGAATACAGTACTCGAACTTGCTATTGTGTTTATACTTATATTTCCAACACTACAAAAACTATTTGTGGGGGAATGTTGTTGTTGTTGATGTTGTTGTTGTGTGTTTTGTTGTATTGGGACTGTTAATAATGTTTTTAGGCTTTGAGAGTGTTTTTGGTGAATATTGTTGTTGTTGGAAGGGTGATCCATATGTGTGCGGATTCTTTGGCGTTCTTTTGGCGTTTCTTAGATTTTTTTAATTTTTTGGCGTTATGTTTATTTTTTGGCGTTTTATTGAGAATTTTTTAATTTAGTCGTTTGGCCATGATTTGTCGTATTTTTTTAGATTTTTTCTAGTTTTGGCGTTCTGTTTATATTTTTTGGCGTTTTTGGCGTTTCTTAGATTTTTTGGCGTTCTGATTTATTTTTGGCGTTTTTATATTTTTTAAATTATTTTGTCGTTCTTTAATAA